TTTGTCGCCACTCACTCAATATTTATCCCACCACGAAGAAATTTATATCCCTGGAAAGCTGAGCTCAAGACCTTTTTAACGGTATGCCGTTTTGCTCTTTCACAGAGTATCGAAAGTTTGTACGCTGATCTATTCACTGCGATAAACGATGCAAATCGAAGTGCGTGTAGACACGTCATCCGCACGCAAAGGGTTAATAATGGGTTTGGATGCTCACCTTATTCGTTTCTTCCTCTTTGTTGTGTTGTGCGTAGTGAGTGCTGGTGTCAACTCACAGCAATCTGCCAGCGCAGCAGCAGAACCTGTCATGGTGAGTACTCCATATTATGATGTTATCATGTGAATTAAATCAGACCTCATGGGTGTAGAATGTTTGATGTGGTGGTGTTTTGCACCAATGTAATTGTGGATCTTTCCAATTTTCCTGGGGATTTTGCATATGGGCCTGGATATGGCGGGCCCTTCTTGTGAGTTGGCGTTGAGTAATGACAATTTTAACGTTTCTGTGATCATTGTGCAGACGACCAAGCCACTACCATGAAGTCCATAGCTGTGTACATGTAAATAGACCTATGATTCAACAGGTTTCAATCGGACCTCTTCTCCTCTGTGAATAGACCTATGATTCAACAGGTTTCAATCGGAACTCTTCTCCTCTGTGAATAGACCTGTGATTCAACAGGTTTCAATCGGACCTCTTCTCCTCTGTGAATAGACCTATGATTCAACAGGTTTCAATCGGACCTCTTCTCCTCTGTGAATAGACCTATGATTCAACCGGTTTCAATCGGACCTCTTCTCCTCTATGAATAGACCTATGATTCAACAGGTTTCAATTGGGCCTCTTCTCCTATGTAAATAGAGCTAAGAAGTTTGTACCATAATATTGTTCATAGTCTTGTTCGCTGACAATTAATCCTGCTGTATTCTGTGTCCTGCTGTATCCTGTGTGATGAGATCTATCCGTCACTATTTTATTTTTTGGCAAGAAATAGGGTGAACTTATTTTATTCCGTCTATCGCCTATTTATTTTTCAATTTACTTGCCCGCTGATCTTAGACAGGTGTGTCTAAGCAACCAACCACTGTATATTTATCTACAATTTAGGTCATACGGTTTTTCTATTATTAGTGAAATCTAGCGCAACAATGTGAACCAGTCTCCACAGAACTAGCGCAACAATGTGAACCAGTCTCCACAGACCAAGCTGCTATTTATAGGTCACTTGTGTTGTACAAGTCTCGTTGCTGTTTAAGTTTTACGCACTTCGTATACATATATGCACATGTTAGTCCTGGTGTCCATTGTTGAAAATGTTTGAAACTTTTTTTTTAAACAAGAGCAATATCTTTGCGAGCTATCATCAAACAGTCCTACTATCTCCCCAACTTTATGATTAAAAACTGGCGAAGTCCATTACTAACGAAGCGAAAAAATCAACTCATACCATCCACTTTTTTTAAATTTGAGTATAATAAAACAACCTATGAATCGTTTTCTTTGTCTTGGTGACTAATGAAATAAGCAGCCAGGTTCACCCTGGCATGTAATACAATGCATGTTGTGAGTTCACCCTGGCATACTTGAAGTACATGTATGTTGGGCTTGGGTCACCCTTGCACATAGCTTCAAACAGGAAAGGAATAACGGTTCGTAAGACATGTCTGATGCGTATGAAATGAAGCTTATCGATATACAAGTATAAAGAATTGGATGACATCAAAAAACGCCTCAAGGTCTACCTAACAGACTGTGAAATGCGGTACTTACTTCAACTGCATGGTGTGACCTCTAGGGACGTTACTGAAACTAGCTTACAGCCATTGTGTGTCTCAAGAGTCAAGTGTGTGATCTATAAGAGCTCAGGGGCCGACATACGTTCCCGTAGTGTACAGGAACTGTTGTTGTCGTTCCTACTGGTGTTTGGTGGTGTTTGGTGTATAGACATCAATCTAACATTACTAAAATTCAGTATGTTCTCAGCAGTCAGACTTATGGCACGCCAATTCGACGGTCGTGCAAATTCCTCTAGACAATGTCAATAGGAGTATGCGCGCTTAGCGGCTGAGGACTGAGCGGTGGTGACATGTCATTTGTCTGGCTCGTTCTGGCTCGTTTGAATGATGGCTCATCATTGCTTGGTGGAACATGCTCGTGGAGGTTTGCAGCAATCTCCCGCACCCCATCAGACACATCTGCCAAGCCGGCTTGTAAGCGTGACTTTGTTAGCCGCAGATGCAGAATACAAATGCGAATAACAAACTTTCCATCTGGCAGCGTTGTTGGTGAGAGGAACAGGTTACCACGACGATTGATGAATTTCAGCAGGGATATGTTCAGGTGGCGTAGCCTGTGGCTGTCTAGCTCCATGGAGTCGTGTCCGCTGTCCGCAGTCTGGTTATCTCTCAGACTTCTCTTTCTCTTGTTGGAAGGGCTGCTTGTGTTAGTGGTACAGGTGGCCACGGGAACGTAGCGGAAAGTGAGAAGCGTGAGACTGGGCTCGGTGGTCACCTGCACGCCAGCATCAGCCATTCCACGAAGGCCTCGAGTGAAATAATCAGTCCAGTCCAGTCGATCGTCCAGTGCTGCTCTCCACTTCTCCAGGCCGCACAACTTCAGTGGCAACCAGATGCGCATGCCACGGAAGCTGCGCGTCAGTTCTGGCGACATCTCATAGAAGTTGACATCACTGGCGTCGAAGTCTGGGTAGTAGGGTGAATTCTCATCAACGGTGAACGCTTGTCGTAAGTGACGCCTCTCCTTGGTTAGTAGCATACCCGTGCCGTGAGGCAGAAAGAATGACTTGTGCAGATCAATGGCAATGGAGTCAGCCTCCTCCAGGCCATCCAGTACAGTTTGCCCACGCTTGGTCAGGTTGAATGCTGCACCATAGACACCATCACTGTGAAGCCATATGTTGTGGCGTTGGCATACTTTGGACAGCCGTCGCATGTCGTCCACAGTGCCTGCATTAGTAGTTCCTGAGGTAGCCACAACGAGGAACGGTTTGCGTCCGGCCTGCTGCTGCATTTCTATTTTACGCTCGAGATCCTGTGGGTCCATTCTCCATGCTGAGTCACATTCCACCTTGCATAGGCATGCCTGAGGCATCCCAGCCATCATCAGCCCCTTCTGAATGCAGCTATGTGTTTCGCTGGTTACCATGACAACCCCTTGCGTGAGGTCATTCTCGGACAGATGGTGACGTCGTGCTACCAACATGCCGATGAAGTTGGCCATAGAGCCACCCGACGTGAGGCAGCCGAAAGCTCTCTGTGGGTCATAGCCAACGATTTGTGCCATCCACGAGATGACATTGCTCTCCAGTTGCACCAGACCCGGTGAGCCCAGGAACAGACCAGTGTATCTATTCATAACTGCACTGAGTAGATCAGCCACAGCTGTATGTAACAGACCACCACCGGTGATAAACGCACAGAAACCACCACTGGCATGGTTGAGACCGCCGTGAGGAGCTACATTGCATGCCACGTCCAACACATCATCCAGCTGCAAACCCTTCTCTGGCGCTGAGTCCTCCTTCAACCTGGATGAGAACAAGACCAGAGACATACATAGATATATATTAGATAAGATACTGTGTACAGTAAGGTTATAGATATACATGTACTGTACACAGCACAATAAAGTAAATCATGATGATGATTATGTGGATGACATGATTATCATGCGTGACCTACTGAGGTCGGTCCAACTGGGAAACATTCACACTTCCCAACTAGAAAGGCAAACTGGATAAGTTTTCAAACGGCATAACTGGTTCATTCATTCCCTGACGTCCAACCAACACAAGAAGTTGTTTCGTGTGCAGCCTAATGAGTTTCTGGATTCTCATAACCTGCCAACGCCCCGCCCGGAATATTGACCATCGCACCAAAAAATGTATTTAAAAAATAGCTAGAAATACAGTGTGCAATGTACACAAGTACTGTGATGTGGACTACAGGCCCAAGTCACCACATCATGAGAACTGGTAATGCTGTGCATATCCTTGGGTGCATGTACAACCCTGGTGTTCACATGGCACTGCATTGTACACGTACAGACATAGTGTTTCCAGTCAAAGAAGCGTTGCACAGCTTGCACCCTTCCTTTGCAAGGACATGGTCAGTGCGGATTAAAGTTACAGAGTGGGAAACTAACAAACTAAAACAAACTAACATGCATTGACCAGGACCCTCAAAGTAACACATGAAAGTGTCCAAGTAACTTCCCATTGCATCAAGAAATAATAAGTATTAAAACTCAGCAGCAAAATTGATTCAAACAGTTGCATGTTGCATGCCTTGTTACACACATGTGACAGTGATCAGTGTCTCCCAACTTGAATGTAGTCCATTGGTCACAAGTTGTCCCAGCCTGGGATAGGCAAAACTTAGCAGGTATGGATCATTCCACTCGATTCTGCCAGGCCCAGCATCCTCTCCTCGATGTGTTTGCACTCAGATGATGCAGTCATTTAGAGTTGAACATTGAAGTTTGCACATGACTGGTGGAAGAATGTTTGGTCAGGCGGTAGATAACAGGGCACCCAGAGTGACGCACATGGTACATACTGACAGCTCTGACATTATGCCAAAGGGTATGGTGACATCTACACAACCAAAGTGCTGGAGCCGAGATGGGGACAATCACACTCGCTGCCCAAAGGGATCGCAAACCCAGCACAAGTCCACATTGCTATCCTGACAGTGACAGCTGCACCTTATGCATCTTGTACAGTCTAGTACTACCATGGGTGAGACATCACCTACGCACATCAATGAATTGCTAGCTGCCAACGTGCCAAACCCATGAGTCCAAACCCATGAGTCGTTATTCAGCTATGCACTTGCACTACCAGAATTCAAGCTCAGACGTCATTTTCCAAAGCCCCAGAGGGTTCCGAAGTCAATTCTACAATAATTGTAGAATTGACTTCGGACAATTATTGTGAAAAAAATACCAGTCACTGTCCCTTGGACTTCAATAATTACAACATTGTCATTGTAGGGCATTTCTCTAGCATACTCACAATACTCACAATATTTTCTCTTCATTCCAGTTCCTAAACTGAAATATACAAAATCTAAGAACTCTTCAAGAAAGTTCTGAAGTACATTGTGTCGGACTTGTGAGCACATGTATGTTCATCCAAAGTGACACGTGCTCATGGGATCCATGAGTGGGTGATTGAATCTCGGACCCTCTCAGCAGGCTATGAAGCACTCCATTACAGGACAGAAGTGTGCTTCACAATACTCAATAGCACACGTCTGTCACTATCACAGTACGACACCGCGTGCACAAACGATGTTTTGAAACTGTTCACTGGCGCTGCATTGAGGAGGAGGAGGAGGAGGAGGAGGAGGAGGAGATCAATTCCTGATTAGTGATTACACAACAGGAAGGTACGTCTAGGATATGTGCCATGATTATGACACGTCCTGATTCAATCTTCTTCCACGTCCTGATTCAATCTTCTTCCACGTCCTGATTCAATCTTCTTCCACGTCCTGATTCAATCTTCTTCCACGTCCTGATTCAATCTTCTTCCACGTCCTGATTCAATCTACTTCCATATCCATTCAAGGATAGGTCTATGATCCCGCCCTCCAGTTCCCCACAATGAACGATGTCCACCGACCATAGCGTGCCAAGCCAAGCCACGACATGACTGACTGTGATCGCAACAGTCATGCTAAAGAGATAATATCTGCTGTCTGTGCTAAGCCACCTTGCTATGCAAGCTGAAGTCGTGCACCAGCATACTATGTTGTTTCTGAGGGTTACTTCGTTGGTGTACTGCATACCCACTAATCGACGACGGATGTCTCTCGTCTCCCAGCGCTACCACCCGGTCGGACGTTCTAACGATCGTGGCCGGCAACCGCCCTAAAGCGGTGGGTCCATCAACAAATCCTCTTCAATAATTTTGAAGATTCACTCACCTTCGAGCTAAATGTCTCGCCGCCTCGTAGCCCTCTGGGCAGTCATGCGTGCAGTCCACATACGTCGTTGGTCCCGTGTCCAAATCTCTGATGCCACTCGTTAGCCATTTGGTGGTCCTTTCCAGTAGCTGCTGAAACGTGTCTGCAGACAAATTCAATTCATCCATCACTGAAGAATACTGCGTTTGGGATGTAAGTTAGGTTTGCTCCACACCTTCTTTCCGAGTTCACATTCAAGCCGAGGCAGCCACCTAGTCTATTGTCTGTGTGCGTTATGGTAGGACAACTAACTTCCATTCGTCTTTAGCTCTCGCACTGACTCAGTGAAGGCTGAAGTGAAGGATTGCGTGAGGAGGAGCTCGGGTTCATAGTTTATTGATCCAGATCCTCGAGAAAGTAACCTGCATTCTGCTTGACTCACAGTTTTACTCCAATCGACTATGTGAATCTACGCATCTTGCGACACAAATAGACACACCGCGCTCTATGAGACTATGGCCCGGGATTGCACGGTGAAGCATGGTAGATCTACGGACAGTGACCCATGTGTGGGATGTTTGCAATGTGTGGCACGTAGGTCTACACATTGTGGCGTAGTAACAGTGGGGACGGTGATGTCCGGTTGCAACGATCACATACATAATTCAACATTGGCCCTGACGTTACGCACCCGATCATCGGGCACCATTGATACTCGGTTGAAATACCTGATGCCAAGAATACCTGCTCCGTAACATCATGTATCCATCATGGATGCTTCCATAGGATAGCGGACACCACCTTCGTGGGAAAGGAGCGCAAGACTCACAGACTTACTTGCTTGCGCTGTTGTCAGTTCAAGTGTCGTGCATGGTCCATACTCCCTGGGCCTGGCGTCAAACACGTAAAGACTATCCAGTGACTGTGTTCTCCTTTCCACGCAGATCTACCAGCACGACTCCCCGTGGGCGATGGAATCCGAGAACTGTCGACATGTTGCCGGTCGGCTGTCGGACAGACACTGCAGTTTGATCAGTCGAATCACGTACCGCCTACCAGATAGAGTCTACATGCGTGTGTGTGGAGATACATGCTATCCATGATGACAGTCAGCACATAAGCAAATCCTCGTCTTGCATGAACTGTTGGCGGTCATGTGACGCGTGGAGACCAAGGTCTAGTCATATACATGACTTTGTAAGTACAATGTAAGTAGTTGTAGTTAGTACACCGGTATTCCGTTCAGCATGGTCGAGCATGAACACCGATTTCACTCTTCAGCTGTGGTAGAAGGTCTATCATAGTCTACAGACTTCACATCATTACAGTCGACATCCCATATCTTCACACTATCTACATTGAAAAGATGTGTGCTCTGATGGAAGACTACAAATCAGGGAGTAGTATGTATTTTACTACTCCCTGCTACAAATAGTAGCTTACTACATGACTTGTATACATGTGAAAGTTAAGCATGGAATAGTAGAATAGTAAAATACGTGCTAAGTAGTAGAGACTACTACATGATTGGCAGTAGTAGTCACTGTCATAACAACAGGCCCTGGTTACATTGGAATGCGTTGGGTTCTTTGTCACGGTTTGAAACTAGAACTTTGTGTCGAGTGGAGACTACTACTGAGTACTACACACTCTGATTTCAAGTGATTTTCTTCATATCCGGTCTTTGTGTCCCTCCTTCCAACGCGGTCTTTGTGCATGATAGTACAGTGTATATTCGGTTCTTGATGTGCACCCTTGTAAGGGAAAGACGCGTCTCCGTACTGTGGCTCTCGTGTCAAGCATATGAGGCGGAGTCTAAACCTGCACTACAAAACCGCCGCTGTGTTGGGGGGGGGGGGAAGGTTTGGAGTCAGCGCAGTGTCTGTGCGCGTCCTTACCACCGCAAACAACAACAAAATGTGAGACGTGACACGTCAACCGTGGGGTCTACTGTTGATACCTCCGCCTCCGGTCCTATAACTTTTGAAGTTACTTAGTAACTTAGTACAAGGTAATTGGTTCGATGCAGTCCTACAACTTAGTAACGGCCTTGCAACCAGTCTAGGTCTACTAGCATGCATGGCAAACATGTACATGTATCAAACGACCCGTTCACTTTCACCAACTGGGGTTCCATTATAGAATAAGGCAGTGAGCCTGGTACGGCTGTCATGCTGCCAAGAGTCAATGTAGTGATGATCGTGCGCTCAGCTGGCACTAGATAGCTGGCACTAGATATGACATTCAATGAACATTATGTTGTTGTGGATGGAATCCGGGGTGTCAAAATTGACAGATTGTCCTACTCAAGGTGAGCCACGAAATTCCTAGCTGACTTGAACAAGCAGGTCATGATTGACACGCTGGATCCTAATTCCAACTCCACCAGTCTTGCACAACTATGCCGTTGCAACCAATACCGTCATGACGCTTTATCCCAACACCCAAGATACTACAATTATTACGATTTGGCATACTAGTATACTGCTGGTTTTGGTGACACAAAGAACATCGGCATAGAATTGACTGTCAATGTTGATTACATGTGCTGACAAACACCTAGTACCTGCTCATACATGTACACGTAGCGTCCAACTGCCCAGATACAGTTAGCCTACATCAGTACAGTCATGTACCATTACTTCAAAGTATATACATGTATCTTGTTGGTGTGACAACTATTCCGGGGTAGATGTTTGCCTTCACTTGGCACACTGCCTGGAAGTCCGGAACACAGTCAAGCTTACAGTATTATACGCACATGTACATGTATGATTGTGCTACATTGATACAGTACAGGGTCATAATAATATCATACCCCAACATTTGTACTATGATGTACGGATACTACATGTAGTAGTATCAGTACAGTTGCAAGTAACTTATTTTCTTAGTTTGGTTCGGCGTGGGTGGTCTACAACACTGTAACAATACACAGAGGCTCGTTGTCTGATGATAGGTTCAGCCATGAAACTCTGAGTCACAACGGAATTTGCCCAAGGTTTTCATTGTGTGCCTTTGTGCACTGTAATAATATGGAACACAAAACAATGTTCAATTGTCTTTCAGAAAAGAGGGCTTTGTTCATGGAGTAGTGTACTAGACTGTCTTTAGCGTGCCACTCTCTTGACGCCATTAGCCACATACATTGACCATGATTGTACATTGTACATGCAGATACTAGTACTGTATTCCTGATGTCTGGTATAAAAATTATGTTGTGTAACTTGTGTTATTTTTTTAAGATTCACCAAAGGATTGTCGAGGGACAGGCACGCAGCTGCGTTCCCGTCGTTGCAGTCAAGCTCAGCAACTGTTGTTGTCTTTTTTTAGGTACCGCCAGCTACTCCTGGACATAGGAAGCAGTCACTAAACCAGATAATTAACCTCCATGCTAGTACCCGCTTACCCGTCTCTACAGTACCGGGCTTTGTCTTGAGGGCTCCCTTGTTCAAAGAAGCATCACAGCCAATCAGTCTTTATTCAGAATCCAGAAGCTTTATAAACCCCGTATTACCTCCAGGGAAGTTCGGAGGAATCATTGTGGTGGTCGCTACAAGCTGGACGACAACTCGGTTTCATGTCATCTGCCTGAAGCCAAGCTTAAACCATCATATCGGAGACTGGTGTTTGTAAGAGTACATGACAACTGACAGTCCATTGCCTTCCTAACTGCTCTCGTATTGGACGGGACAGGGTACAGCCCCGATGCAGTCATCACATCTCACTAGTCACGGTCAAGGATGATGTAGCCTATGGTCGCATGACTATGATCACTATCACATAAAGAGAGAGGGAGAGAGAGAGAGAGAGAGAGAGAGAGAGAGAGAGAGAGAGAGAGAGAGAGAGAGAGAGAGAGAGAGAGAGAGAGAGAGAGAGAGAGAGAGAGAGAGAGAGAGAGAGAGAGAGAGAGAGAGAGAGAGAGAGAGAGAGAGACAGAGAGAGAGACAGAGAGAGAGACAGAGAGAGAGACAGAGAGAGAGAGAGAGAGAGAGAGAGAGAGAGAGAGAGAGAGAGAAGAGAGAGAGAGAGAGAGAGAAGAGAGAGAGGAGAGGAGAGAGAGCAGAGA